GCGCTCTCACGCTCACGCGCTCTCTCTCAAATAAATAAATAAAATATTTAAAAATCAATAAAATTAAAAAATTAAAAATTAAATAAAAGTAGATTCACAAACCCAAGTTGTTACAAAGTCACTTTAAGGTTTTCCAGTAAATGAGTCAAGTATCTGCTTTTAAGTTGAAATGTTAATTAAAAGTTACATTTCAGGTGATCAGTAGGCACACATGGCTGGCAGCTCTGCCCTAGCCTCCGTCGTGTGACCCAGCCTTGACACTTCCCCAGCCCAGCTCTCCGGGGGTTGGGCAGCCGGGCCGCTCTAGCACATGGTTGGACACTGGAGAGCAGATCCAGCCCTGGACCTGGTGACCGTGGACAAATCCTTCTGAACTATTTGAATTTATCACCACACATCTGCTTTGGGAGATGGTCTACCTCCTCATAGAAAACCCAAAGATTCATCAACACCGGGTCTGCATCTCTGTGGGGTCATAGCAGTGACTACCTCCTCAGATACCGCTGGCCCCCACTCCATGACGGCTACAGGGCATGGTCAGCTTGGGGTGGCAGAATGGGGAGGGTCCTCAGTCGGCGGAGGACAGAAGAGTGGCTGGATGGGTGGATGGGCGATGGATGATGGACATGTGGACAGGTAGATGGCCAGACGATGGGCAGATGAATGGATGGATGGGTAGGTGGATGAATGGTCAATAAGTGGAAAGACGGATGGACAGGCAGGTGGGTGGATGATGCATGAACGTGTCAGTCTCTGGTTAGACTGATAGATGATGACCTCACCCTTGAACTCCACCCTGGTCTGCCCACACCTCCTAGGATCAGTTTGGGTGTGTTCTGCCCTCTGCCCTGCAGGTCTGGGGGGGTGGTGACCCGCCTGCAGTCCCATCCCCAGGTGTGGGGCAGAACATAATCACCAGCATCCTCAGCCTGTGCAAGGGCCCCACCCTCTACAGCTTCGTCTTCTACCTGTTCCACGTGGAGCTGAGCAAAATGGCGGCCTGGGGCCCCGGACAATGCTGCCAGGACCAACATGGCAAACCCTTCAGACAAGGTCCCACCCTCCACCCACCTGTGTCCCACCTGTCCCCCTGCCTGTCTCCAGGGACAGGAACACCACATTGGCCTCTCTTCTCACTGGACCTTCATCCAGGGCCACTCTTTCTCTTTGGCACCTGCCCCATTCTCCTCCAGCCTCTGGTCACCCTTTTGACCCCCCCAGCACAATCACCTGGCCCTGCAGCCCAGAGCCCACAAGAAGCTTGGTGGGGGTCCCCAAGCTGTCCCACAGCCCTTCGGTGGGGGCCCCATCGGCAAGGAGCTGCTGCTGGAGGGCAGCATAGCCTGAGTTAGCAACAGGACCTGAGATCAGGGGTTATACTTCTGGGAGCCCCAGCCTCAGGATGGTAGAGCCAGCACCCCAAAATCAGCTCTCACCAAGATGTGCCTTCCTGCTCCTTGGGGCAGGTGAGGGGCCTGAGGATCCTCAAGGCCCTCACCCTTGCCTGTTCAGCTCATTTAGGGCTACCCCAGCATGAACCCTCCACTCCTGGTAGGGGACGAGCCACAGTCCCCAGGGATGCTGGGCCCAGCTATGGGGCCTTTGAGGGCCACCCTGACCCTACTCCACCCCCAAGGGCCTCCATCCAGTCTGTCTGAACCCAGATGTCACAGCCCAAAGCCTCCGACCCCTTGATGCTCATGACAACTTAAATCTCAGGCCCTCAGACCGGCCTCAAGGGGTCAGGCAGTGTGCAGACGCCACGCTCTGACAGCCCTGGCCACCACCAGTGTGGGGTTCAGCTTCCCAGAGAAAGAGAAGTTGTCTTTTTTTTTTAAGATGTTATTTATTTATATGGGAGAGAGAGAGAGTACACAGGGTGGGGGGGGCAGAGGGAGAGGGAGAAGCAGACTCCCCGCTGAGCAGGGAGCCCAATGCGGGACTAGATGCAGAACTCGACCCCAGAACCCTGGGATCATGACCTGAGCCAAAGGCAGATGCTTAACCCACTGAGCCATCCAGGCGCCCCAGAGAGAAGTTGTCTTCATGGGCATTTGGTGTTATTTACTTGGGGCTCTGGCCCCCAACCTTGGTGCCCTGGGTGTCATCCCTCCTGCCAAGCCCCCTTGGTCTAGCTCAGCCAGGCAACTTCAGGGCAATTTCTCTAGCCTTCTAGAGCCTTCTATGGGTATTTATTAAAAGATCATTCACAAAAAATAATAAATAAATAAATAAATAAATAATCATTCACAACTTCCCTTTCCTTCCCCCCTCCCCCATCCCTGAGACCCACAGAAGCAGGGAGTGACTGTGGGGCGGGGGGAGGGGGGCATGTCCTAGGTAGGGGGTCCTCCAGCATGAAAGACACTGCTCTTGTGGCCCCAGCCCACCCCAAAGAAAGAGCTGTGAGCCCCCAACTGGCCGGTGGTACCAATGAGTGGAGCTGGCCCAGCCCAGGTGAGAAGGGTGTCCCTGGAGAGAATGGGCATCTCTGGGGGGCTGGGGCAAGCTGGCCCCTCCTGGATACCCTCTGAGGAGGCCAGGTCCCCTTCAAAGCGCTGCTGCTATCATGGAAGGTTGAGGCCAGGATGACAGGTCTTGGGGGGGCTGGGACCCCCCATGGGAAGGAGGTTTCCTGCTCAGGCCACTGAGGACTTCCTCCTGGGTGGGGACAATGCCGGGAAGGGGAGGGGATCTGCAGGCAAGCACAGCAGGAAGCTCAGGTTGTGGGGGCAGGGGGAGGTAGAGGGATGACCTCAGTCCCCACGGAGGCGGCTGGCTCCATGGGCTCAGTCTCCCAAGCACAAGACCAGATGTCCCAGATGCAGGCAGGACATGTGGTTCAGTCCCTGCTAGTGCTGGTCTTGGGCCCCTCTCTCTAGGCCCCTGCCCCCTCCCTCTTCTGCCATCCTCCCTCCCTCTGTCGCTCTGTTGCCCCTCCCCACCCTAGGTTCCAGCTTTTCCTTACCTCTGCCCAGAACCCTCTGGGTCTGATCAGCCCACCTGCCCCCTTTCCTCTGGGCACCCATATCACCAGGTCCTCCTTCTGTTCTCTTAGAGTTGTGTGTGTCTTTGAGCGTGGAGGTCTGCCATCCACAGGGGTAGAGCATTTGGAGCCTGGAATGAGCACCATGGAGGACTGGTGATGGATGCGGGAGGCAGGGCCCGGAGAACTAGGTCCCGCCCTCCAAGGGGCCTTGGCTGGGAGGGAGGCAGGAAGCAGGGTCAGGGGCTGGGAAGAGGCCCATTCACCAGGCCCACTGCCCCCTGCCCGGGTTAAGAGCCCAGCTTCCCGAGAAAGGCCCACACCTCCGGCCTGGGGAGGGCCTCACCTAGGAGTCCACCTTCCTGTGCCACCCTTCCCGGCACAAGGCTACAGGGGGGATGGGACCAAGGAAAACAGGACTCCCAAGTTCACACAGGTGGACCCTTGCCTCACCGAGGCCTCAGTTTCCCCCCTCTGCTCCCAGCCCCTCCTCTCGCCCCTCGGCTTCCGCCTCTGGCAAGTAAGACACGAAGGAGGCCCAGATGCAGAGCTAGTGAGGTTCGACCCTTCATTGCCCGACTGCCCCTCCTTTTATTCCCCAGCCAGGGCAAGCGAGGCACCAGCCACACACTGAGGTCGACCTGAAGCACACCAGGACCCTCCATTCTTTTCTTCCTGCATGCCTGCTGTGCATGGGGTCTGGGGTCGTGGGGTGGCACTGCACAACAGATAAGATCTACCTCCAGTAAATGGGAAATGAGGTTTTAGCTACATGACGTCATTAAGGGCTACAAGGAAAATGCAGCGGGGGGGGGGGAAGGGGGGAGGTGGGGAGGAGTGAAGCTGGTTGGGGAAGACTCTGAGGAGGCAACATTTGGGCAGAGACTGGACAGGGTGAGTGAGTGCACAGCCTTGCCGAGGCCCTGAGGCTTCCCAATCCTGCGAGGCTTCTCTCCTTTGTGCCACAGGCAGCCTTGGGGTGTCAGCATGCTCAGAAAGGTGTTTCTAAAACCACTCTGGGTGCTGGGTGGTACACGGCCATGAAGGACAGAGAAATGAGGCCAGGCTGAGGGGCAAGGAGAAAAAGGTGGATGGATATCTCAGGACTCACTGATGACAGCTGTGAGTGGGCAGCCGGGCCAGAGTCCCTTCCTGGTCTTCCCCTGTAGACCTCAATCCCTGTGTGGAACAGGGCAGGGAGGCAGCCCCCTACCCTGAGTTCCCAGTGTCCCACAGCCCTAGCTGTTTTACCGAGGAGAGACAAGCTCAGAGGTAGGTGGTGAAGTGTCTCAGCTCCATCAGTCCCAGGAGACCCTCACATCGAAGAGAATGTGACCCCTAGAAGACCCCCATCACCCCCACAAGATCCTCACCCATGAAGGACTCTTCTTCCAGGAGGTTCCACTCCCAGGAGCCCCCCACCCCCAGGGGACTACCACCCCAGAGACGCTCACCCGCAGGAGACCCCACCCCCAGAGGACCCTCCCCCCCGAAAGCCCCCCACCTCCAGGTGACCCCCCACCCCAGAGACCCTCACCCGCAGGAGGCCCCACCCAAGGAGAACCTGCCCCGCCCCCCCAGCTCCGCACTTCCGCGCTGGAAGAAGGCTGCTCTCCGTCGCCCCGGCTCAGCCGCTCCAGGCAGTGGAGGCTGAGATCGCACGGCCGTCGGGGCGGCTCGGGGTGCCGCCAACCCCGGGTCTGGTTCCGATTTCCATACGGTGGACTTGGACCTCCGCCCCTCTGTGGCCTCCATCTTCCAATCTTCCCATCCCTCAAAGTGGAGTCCGCTCACACCTTCCCGCCCCGTCTGTTCTGACCTTGGATGCTGGGTCCCCGCCAACCCTGGCCCCCGGCTCCTGCCTCTCTGTCGCCTCCAGGGTCGGGGTCAGGGCGGGAAATCCCCTCGGGAAAGCCCCGGGGAGCAGCTGGAGGACGGGGCGGCGGAAAAGAGCCGGGGGCACCGCTATTTAAGGCGCGTCCCCGGCGGGCAGAGGACATAGCCGACACCGAGCATGGAGCAGAGTCTCGCCCTCCTGTTTCCCTTCTTCCTGGGGCTCCTCCAACGAGGCCAGGGTGAGCAAGGGAGGGGGCTTCGTTAGGGCAGTGAGTTTAGAAGAGAGGGGAGGGCTGGGACCGAGGGAAGGCTCGCAGCAGGGCGGTGCGGTGGCTCGGGGAAGGTGCGGAGGACCGTACGGTGGGGGGTCTCGGAGGAGGCCGGGCGAAGGGCAGTGGGGGGGAAGCTCAGG